AAAAGCCCCCCCCCCCCCCCCCCCCCTGAGAAGTCGTTCTGTACCGCGGTTCAAGAACAATCGTCTCTTGGGAGGAAGAGTTCTCATCCCGTCTCAACGGGGGTGCCAAGTGTGAAACGACCACGGGGCACAACAATGGCGTGCCCCCCTACTCGACCATTGACGCCAATTTGTGGGTTGGTGTGTCCACGTGGGCGACGCTTGGCGTGTGTGTTAACGATGCGAATCGTGTTAACGATGCGAATCGAATGGACGACAACGACAGGTGTTGAGCTCGGAAGACGTGACCTTCAAGAGGCTGGCTAACGACCGTGGGTGGACCCCCCCCCCCCCCCGTCACTCACCGGCTCCCCCACGGTGAGTTGCGCGCTTCCATCGGGTTTCCCCCGAAGCTAGCGCTGCGAATGTACGTGTCCGGCTTCTTGGGGTCACTGTCATCCCCGGTGCCCCCGTACTCGGGGGCACGCTCCGGGGAACGCCAGGGTACCATGCCCTCTGCGGGATCCCACCCTTCGATCGGCTGCGGAGGAAAACGGCAGCAGGCGCAATAAAAAAGTAGATACGATGTGAGATTGGCATGAAAACAAAGGTGAGAGAAAAGGAGATCACGAAGAAAAAAGGATTGGTTGGGGCATTGGGGGGGGGGGGGGCACCGCAGGTAAGTGGTTGTCCTCGTGTACCTGAGTCCACCGGCGTCCCCGAGATTGGGACGAAGTAACAGGAAGGAATGGTAACGAATAGAGAGCCTTCACGCCCAACAACAACACAGCAACACAACAAAGGAAGGAGAGGGCGGGAATAACAGACAGAATCTGACCAGCAAACTCGCGCGTGCTCCCACACGATATTCTTCAACACCCGTATGAGAAGCAACAAAAATAACGCCGCCTGCTGGAAACACACTCACGCAACAAAAAAGACGCAGAAACCACAGACAGACCGCACACATCACCTTCTTGGCCTCCATGCCACCGTCCGCGTCCTCATACGCCGCCACGAACGCGAGCCCAGGCTTAGGCCAGGTGATCGAGGTGGTGTCCTCGCCCTCGCCGCCGCCGTCTTCGTCCTTCGACGTCGCCGACCCGGTGCTGTCGAAACTCCCGAGCGGAAACCCAGACTTCCTCATAGACCTCTTGCGCGGCTTTCTGCCGGTGCCCCCGCCGGCAGCGCTCACCCCGCCGGAAGCGCTCCTGGATAGCGGCGGGACTGCCGACCCGGAACTGCTCACCCCGCCGGACGCGCTCCTCGACAACGGCCGGACAGCCGACGGCAACTCCTTCTTCGCGTCGCCCGCTCGCTTCTTGGCGTCCTCCTCGAGTCGGAGCGCTCTCGCCCGCACGTCAACAAGCCCTCCCGGGCGGCTCGCCGGGCTACCAGCCTCGGTACCGTCCTGATCGGCGGCAGCGGCGGCATCTCCTCCGGCGACACCAAGAGCACTCTTGGCGCTCTTCCACTTGCCGGAGGATGGGCGTGGCGGTGGCGGCAACCCGGCCGCCTCGGCGGTCTCGACGGCCAGCTTCTGCCGCTCGTCGCGCGCTTTCCGCCGCTCCTTCTCGAGATCCTTGACCTTGAGAGCCCACTCCTCCTCCTCCCTGTCGGCCTCGGCTTCCGCCTCCGCCAGCGCCGCGACAGCCTCCTCTCGCGTCATGCTAGACTTGCGCTTCGGCGGGGACGGCGTCGAGCCGGTGCCGCCGCCGCTATCGCTCCTGCTTACGGCGCCGCTGCCGATAGCCTTGCGAGTTGTTCCGCTGGGTGGCGGGGAGCGCGCCGCACCACTGGCCAAGCTGCTGCTAGAGGAGTGGGTGCTAGACAGGCTGCCGTGCGCCGCCGCCGCCGCTCGCACGGCACCTGTCTGGTGCGGCGGCGGACGGCCCCCCGCGGGAGCGCCTCCTCCGCCGCCTCCGCTCCCGATGGCGCCGACGCGGTCTTTGACGGTACCGGGCGCGCCTCGGTCCTTGCCTTCTCCCCAGCCGCCGCTGCCGCTCCCCGCGCGGCCGACTCTTCGTTCTGCGCCGGCGCCCGTGGCCTCCGCCAGCTCTCCCACCGCCCCGTGCACGTCGCCGCGGCGCCGCCGACCACCGCCGCCGCCGGCCGCCGCCGTCGAGCCTTCCTCCGCCGTCGTCTTGGACCCGTACAAGGCGTTGACGCGGCCCTCGATAGACCCCCCCGATCCCCTCCGGCGGTGCGGTCCCCTTCCAGACGTAGGGGAAATCCCGTCGCGAGTCCCCTCGCTTCCCTCGTCCGAGGTGGTGGCCGACGCCTGGCTCCCTGACCCGCGGCGGGGGCGAAGGTATGCCGCGGTCCTGCTCCCGTCTCCTTCGCGGCGACCCCCGCTCCCGTCGGCGGCGTCCGCTGCTCCGTCGTCACCGGTCCTTCTTCGCCGCTGCCGCCGCCGCCGCCAGACGAAAATACCCCGAGGCGCTCCTTGACCGACCCGGGGCCGGTCTGGTTCGCGCCTTCTCCCCATCCGAGATTAGCTCCAATGCGCCCGTGGTCACCGCTCCCACGTCGCTCGCCAACGGACGGTACGTCCGGCACGAGGTCGTGCACGCTGCCGGTGCCACTGCCGCGTCGGTGACTAGCGCCCGCCCCCGCTCCCGCCTCCTCTCCCTCGCCGCTGCCGCTGCTGCCGCCGCCAGACGTGAACGCGTCGAGGCGGTTCTTGATCGACCCGGGACTCCTCTTCCCGCTGGTGCCGTCCCCCGCCCCCGCCTCCGCTCCCTCGCGACTACCACTGCTGCTGCTGCTGCCGCCGCCAGACGAGAACGTCCCGGAAGACGTGAATGCCTCGAGACGGGTCTTGATCGACCCGGGACCCTTCTTCCCGCTGTTCGCGTGCCCCTCGGCCCCAGCCGCCGTTCCGGCACCGCTCTTCTCGACGACCGAAGGCACGTCCGGCACCGAGTCGTGGACGCTGCCTCTCGCCGGCGGTCGGCTAACGCTGCTGCTCGCTCCGTCCCCTGCGACACCGCCGCCGCCGCCGCCGGCCTCTCTTCCTTGCGAGGAGCGGTTCTTGCTGCCGCGGGAAAGGAAGGCTCCCAGACGCTCCTTGATCGACCCCGGGCCTGTCCGGTCACCCTTCTCGCCCCACCCGCCTGTCTGCACCCGCCGGCCGCCCTCTTGGACGGCACCGGTCGTCGATCCGGTCGCCGTTCCGGTCGCCGCCGCCGCCTCCGTGCCGACAGCGGATTTCTTATCAGCACCAAACCCTTGGTCGGCCGGGAAAGCTTCCGCCGTGGGCGCACCAGCATCCACCCCTTCCGCTCCCGAGCCGGGAGCGGTGGCGACAACATCTCCACTGGACGAAAACACCCCCAAGCGGTTCTTGACAGACCCCGGACCATTCTGCGAATCGTTCTCTCCCCAGCCGGTGGTCTGCACCGTCCGGGTGGGGGAGGAGCCGCCGACGCCCTCGCCACCCTCGCCCGCCATGGCCACGGTAGCAGCGCTGCCGCCAGCAGCGGCCTTTGGCGAGCCCCTAGAGCTGGTGCCGGCCTCAGCCGCCGCCGCTGCCGCCGCCCCCGCCACAGCGGCACCCGGCTTCTTCCCCCTGTCCAGACCGCCGACGGTG